TGAGGAGCTGCTTGAGTAAGTAATTGTAGGAGGGAAAGGCTAGCCCTTCCATTACTGTGCTTTTCATTACAGAAGCAAATTATTTATAGAGAGTGTAGGTTACGTGGATACGTCTTAGAGGTCCTAAACCCAGACAACAAGAGGTCAACTTTACAGCGGGAATTCATCTTCTAGATGTAACCCTTAGTATGTCAGGAGGGGCTTATTTTTGCTCCTTAGTATTTTTTTTTGGTTTTTATTTGGAGTTCATTAAACTACGTCAGGAGTTAGTCACCCATGTAAACCTCTTTCTGTAGAAGAAAGATGGTTTGTAATCAAACTAAGAAGAAAGAATTTCAAACCTAGACCAGAATAGCTTTTGGGCTCTTCTTAAACAGGAATTGATAAATTCCCAGCAGACACTGTCCGTGCACAGTGCCCTTGTTGGCAGAGCTCAGAGAAAAAGAGGGAGTTGCTGATTTTGATTTCTTCCACAGGAATTTGAAAGAACCAGAAGAGCCAAGAAACCAGAGAAGTGTTTTTTCCCTCCTGATTAGCTGAGCTGCTTTTGAAGCAAGTAGTAGCAAGAGTTTGTAGAACCAGGGAGTGTTGTAACGTGAGACTGGTTTTATGTGACTGTTTCGCTGAAGTGTTTTCCGTACAAAACAGTGCTGCAGGTTGAGAGCTGAAGGGATGGATTTTGGCATTCGCTGCCAGGTATTGCCCTGTTGGCATTAGCGTGGACGTGGTACATGGGTCAAAAGTACACATTGTTTTGTTAACAGCCTAATTATGCCGCTCGTTATGTAATACTACAGAAAAATTGTTTGCATAAACATAGAGAGCATCTCAGTGTTGTTACAGTTGCAACACAAACGACCAAAACGCCTTTTAAATGTAGATTATTTTTAGTGGCAGGCTAAGCTGTGCCGACGAGAAGTTGGAAAGCAATCAACAGAAGTCTCAGCATCTCAAGGCTTTTCCTGAATTCTTTTAGTCTTTTAAGTTGAGTTACACCTCAGAAACGCGGAGTGTAATTGCAGGGAGTACTCTGATAGTTCCTGTGAAGAGATACTGGAGATGTAGGGGGCGTGTTGGAATGATACCGACGTTTCACAGCGAGGCTGCAAAGTGCCCTGTTGGGTTACTTTTCCCGAATGATCCTGGAGAAAATATTTGGATGTTACAGTAATCAGTGGATAGCACAGGAGCAGGTAGAAAACAGTTACCTTCCGAACCAGGATGAGTAAGTAGAGAGCTTAGAAGCATTTTTGCGTTTGACTTGAACTTTTATACAGTTGTAATAAACTGCGTACAGACAGACCGGAGCGATCCACAGTGGATAGTTGTTGAAGAGGTTCTAATTCTTATTTCTTAAACAGTAGCTGTTGTCGAAGAGGTTCTTCTCTGTTAGAAGCTCCCCAGCCTTGATGTGAATTTCCCCTGAGAGAATCCCCTTCCATTCCTAGTAAATTCTTACAGGCATTTTTGGGTTTGACTTGAACTTTTATACAGTTGTACAGACAGTACAGACAGACCGGAGCAATCCACAATGGAGAACTCACACAAATTAATTCTTGTTTCTCAAATAGTTGTTGAAGATTCTAATTCTTATTTCTTAAACAGTAGCTGTTGTCGAAGAGGTTCTTCTCTGTTAGAAGCTCCCCAGCCTTGATGTGAATTTCCCCTGAGAGAATCCCCTTCCATTCCTAGTAAATTCTTACAGCGGTGGTTGCTGATGTGCGGTGTATTAGGTAGGCGGGAGGGGTGGTGTGGAGGTTTTTGGATTGTAAGATGGGCAGAAATTGTTGTGGATATCTTATTTGTTAACTATTCTGCTGTTAAATATTAGCATTTAAAACCTTTACATGAAACCCATGCAAATAGAATTAAAGGAAAATAGTATAAAATAAGCACAATTTATATTTATAGGATAACACAAATATATTTAGAGAAAATATTAAGGACAAAGAAAAAACATTAATTTAGGAAAAATAAAATTAAAAGGTTTAATTAAAGAAAAGACAACAGAAAACCCTATAGACATACTTTACCTGGGCACGTGCAAATCTCGAGCACGGAGCTGTGAGCTGTACCTGCAGCTGGAGCTGGAGCACCAACCACAAGCAGCTGTGGTAACACATGTGGCAAACTGAAGAGCCTGACACTGTTAACATTTTTTTTTCAGCGTGAGTACAAGGCTGCTTAAATAAATGCTGAACTGTCTCTTTGATAAAATGTGTAGTTTGAATCCCCACTTTCTGTACTATAAAGCCTCTTCTGTCAGCCTTTAATCATATTCACAGATCTTCCCCGGCCTTTCTTCATGCTGTCACGATGCTTCTTGAAGGCTCGGTGTAAGTACTAGGCACGACATTTGAACGGGGATCGTATCTGTGTCGAGGGCAGAAATAAAATCTCCCTCCTCCCTCCTCCTTGATGTTGCCGTTGACGTATCAGCCGTTCTCAGCACTCTCCTGATGAAAGCTGCTGAACAACCCGTTATTCCCTGACACACTTCCTATCCATGTCCAGCGACGCGGAGCCACGTGCCCCGTCGCGTGCGTACGGCATCCGCCTTTGTTCCTGGGCACGCCTTGACGTTTTGTTCTACTGAAGTGCGCGTCACCCATCACCTTTGTTCCGAACGGGGCAGGCTGGGCTGTGGTAGTGGCGTGTCATCTCCGTCATTTAGCTTTTTGCCAGCAGATTTTATCGGTATGGATTGTACCTCCAGATCGTCTCTCTCGCCATGGATGTGAAGTCAAGTTATGTAAGGCCAGTGCCAGAACCTTGTGAGGGTCCCTAGAAATCGAAGAAATTAACTCTCCACTGGCTCTGTCCTCTCGCTTGAGGTTACCGTTGCTGTGGTGAAAGCTGTTGAGAAGGGGATGTGCTCCTGAATGGTTTCATTTCATGGCTGGCGTCTGAAATCGCAGCGCTGCTGATATGTCTGTCTGTTAAAACACCACACTCTAAACTCCAGGATCTGCAAAAAAACCAACACCAGTTGCTTTTCCAGTTCCCCTGGGAGTGGCAGTGTAGGGTGGAACGGTGGGCAGATAACTCTTTAATCCCCACAGCTACCCCTAGCACAAATGTGAACCCAAATCAAAGACACTGATCATTTATGTTTAAAAATATAACTTGGAGCCTGTTTGTTTGGTTTTTTCTTTTATTCCCTTTACCTATGCTAGAATGATTTTGCATTTAGTTTCTCACAGTGCTAGGTGACACTGTATACCTATATATCTAAGAGTAACACGTCCTTGTTGCTACTTCTACCAGAAAAAAAACTTGTAGACTTGTCAAAAATGGCAGAAGAGATGCATTAAATCCTTGTGGACTGTGATAAGTATAATATTCCATTTGATAATTAGTTAATCAAATCTTGAATTAATCATTTTGCATGGTGCTGGTTTGTAGCTGACAAGCCTCTGGTTGCTTGGCTCATCCTGTTGAGATATTGGAACAACTTTGTTTTAATTTTTTGTAATTTCTTGAGTGTTCCAAGAGTTAGAGAACGTGTACTCTAAAGATCACGTGCAATACTGAGCTGGATAATCCTTAGGACCATGTTCGATTAAGCCTTTCAACGTGTGCAGATCCATTCAGCGAGGAGAAAGCTGTCCAGCTGGTGAGACTCGTAAAACAGGGATGGGAATAGTATGGTTTTGTTCAATCGGATACTTTGATTGAAACTCAAAAGAAATTTAACGGAGACTCATAATTCAGAAACCTCATTTTGTTGGTATCGTAATTTGTGCACTTAGTTTTTTTGTTGTTGTTACATTTAATCCTCCATTCAATTTTAGGTGCTTTGAGTAAATTATTAATAAACACCTCGCATGAATAGATGGAGTATTTATCTGTTGTGCCTACTGCTCAAGCCGGATCTGTTCGGCCTCCTAAATTCTGTTCAGAGACCGTGCTGTCGATAACATATATTACCTGCCTGATGTAACTACATCAGCAGAAGTTTCTGCAGGTGTTGAAGCTTCTGGTGCGACAGACATTTGTATACCTGGAGTGTTTGCCAATGTGTCGTTTCTTCCTGCAACCTGGTGTACCTGTAGGCGAGCGCTGCTACTCAAAGTTTCCGGCACCGCTGTTTTTACAGGGGAGGTACGGTGCTAAACCCGTGACGCCTTTTACCCGAGATTTGACTCGAGTTCTCGCTCCCCAACGACTTTAAAAGGCAGACTATTTGTTATGGCCACTCTCCCCTTGGCAGCATCTGGCTGCAGTTCCTTCCCCCTGCCCTTTGGGCGGTGTAACTGCACAAACAGCTCCTACATCTGTTACTCATCACAGCAGAAAGGGGACAAAAAGAACAAAAAGTGGGAGGGGAGGAGGGATCTTTGTGAGGCAGTTCTGCCACAGAGAAATGGAGCCTTTCTGCCAGCTCCACAGCTGCCTTCTGTCTCCTGTAATTATTTGTTCCTTCTGACATTTAAACCTTCTTGCACCTTCAGCTGCGCTGCTCTGGCTGGGATGTGGCAGCGTGGGGTGAAGACAAGCGTTTTTCCGCGTTCTTTTTTCAGAATTGATTGTTGGTTAAGGCGATTGGCCCCATGTATCTTTACATAAGCAAAATATCTTTATATGAGAGAAGCTGCGCTCTTGGTTCTGTTACTTTCCCTATTTTGGCTGATGAGAGTAACTTCAGATGTATCTCTGTACCGGAGCTTTTGCCAGTGCAAAGGGATTTATCAGAGAGTGCTCTTCATCAGCTTCATTATCAGTATAATTATGCCAGCAGAAATGTCTGCAGGATTTTAAGCATTTAGTGTAAATTTACCTTACTTGGAAAAAAATGAGCATGAAAAAGGTGACTGTCGGAAAGATTGTTACTCATTTATATATTCAAATAAAGCACCACCATTTTTTAAACCTGAGCTTACTAAACTGACTAGAACCAAAACCTGGTTTCTAATCGCATCTGATATTTAGGTTGTGGGAGTCTGTTGATCTGACTAATTTAATTTTATTTTTTTTTGCATTTGTTTTATTCTGAAAAGCTTTTTTGTTAAGCTCTGCTGATGGCAGTAACGGAACAGTTAACTGGACGACTAAGCAAGCCCACAGTTATATTATCAGCAGAATAAAGGCTGCTGAGAAGAATGGTGAGTTTAGGTCGTAAATCTAAATCCCACGTTGGTGCAGTCAAATCTGCTTTTAATATTACTCTTGCTTTTTCAGTCATGTCCTTGTTTTAGGAATAAGGTGCTCTTTCAAGGTAAGTAGTTTGGAACATTTTGCATTCCTTCAGTCTTTTAAACATTCACAGACCTGTGTGTCTTTGTGAGTCTTCCCCAACTTTTCCTGTTCTTAGAGCTTTGCTTGAAATAACGGCTGTGTGTAAACCTAATATTGCACATTTTCTGAGCCTGGCTGGTCACTTGGAGATACCTCTGCAGTTTGCTTAATACAATAACTTGTCTGTAACAAAAAAATCTTTTCATATATGTATTTTAAAGACTGTTTTACTGTCATTTTTGCACGTACACACAGAATATTGTCGCTAGTGTACGTACTGGCTGAGGAAGGGCCTTACACTGATTGCCCCCCCAGGCCGGCAGTCTGTTCTCGCCCCCAGATCGAGTGGTTTCTGGATTTGTGCTTCATCTGCTAAAAATCAATGGGAAGAGAACCCGCTGAAGTTCCCAGAAAAGATTTCCAGGTGGCTTTTTTTTTTTTTTCCTGAAGATAGTCAACATGCAGGCTTCAACCAACACGGTAAATCTGAAATTTCTGGAGATGGGGATCGTTTGTATCTGATAATCGGCTCTGGGCCGGAGACTGATATAATCCCAGCGGAATTCCTGGCTGTGCGCATGTTCAAGACCTACAAAAAGAACACTGGGGATGGTTTCTTCACATGTTTCAACAAAAAGTGAGGTGTATTTTCTAGCCTTCAGTTTCCAAGTAATCTACTTCTTCCCCAGTCTCCAGAACTTCTCTGCACAGGTGTTTCGTGTGATCTGCAGAGAGTGCTCTGGGAGGTTTGGAACAGGAAAGGAGACGGCAGTGCTGTCGAGGGAGCTTAACTGTCTTTTTTGCTAGCAGGAATCTATTATGATCCTGTGTAGTAAAGATTTTAAATCCCTAGATCACCTGAGATGATTACACAGTCATCTCCAGTCTCAGGCACTCTTAGGAAAATAATTATGGGTTTTAAAAGCCTCTGAAGAAAATGGCATTTTGCTTGTTTCGTTATTGAAAAGCAGTGATTGCTGTAGTGGGCTGAAGACTCATCATTTTCCTTCTGATTTTGAAGGATCTTCATAGGGCAAAGAGAAGGGCAAGAACTTGGGAATTCTTAATTTTCCTACGTGTGTCATTGCAATGTGTCATTCTAAGATAAGACAGGTTTGGGGGTTTGTTTTTGCTTCCGAGAGGCATTTTTTGGCTTCCCCCAAGATCACTGTTTTCTGTCTGCATGAAATCCTTATTGGTGTGCTTGCTTTGGCAACAGAGGGACTTCTCGTTGGTAGCAATGGGCAGGCATTTAATGGTGGCAATTGATAAAAGATAAAAGAAATATGTTTCACGGGCTTTGATGGTGTGGTTTTTAGTAACTGCTGATTCTTTTCTCCTTCTTCCTTTGTAGAACTATTGCTTATGGAGAATATGCAGGTTACTTCTCACTGTTCTTCCTGTTTGAAATGGGTTTTCGTTGTAGAGTCAAAGCATCAGAAGTAGAACATGGGTTTCTCTATGTATTTGATGCATTTTCAGCCAGCCACCGTATTTTTGTCAGCTTTTCTGCTCTATTAATATTATAAATTAACTTTGTAAGCTTCCCTTGAAAATATTTTAAAGGAAATTAATTTGTTTTCTTGCTCTAGTTACAGCTCACTCGCAGAAGTGAGTGCAAAAGTTTATTGGGTTGTCAAGTTACTCATTTTTATTACACAAATCCAATAGCTATGTTACTGCGCTTAAGTCTGCGTAATTAAACTGGCTTGTGAGCCACCCAAATTGTAATGAACTATTTAAATTTCAATATCCATTCAATTTTTGTCTTTGGGGTAAAATCATTAGAAAGAAGTTCCATTCAGTGTTGTGTTAAAAGAAGTTTCCAACGGCAGGTCAATATCCATTCAAATTTTGTCTTTAGGGTAAAATCATTAGAAAGAAGTTCCATTGAGTGTTGTGTTAAAAGAAGTTTCCAACGGCAGGGAAAAAGCTGCTGCAGGATTCGATCACTGGTATATCCAGAGCTCGAGACTAGAAGTTCTGCAATATTAGGCTCGAAGAGGGGGAGTACGTAACTAAATGGAGGTGCCTGCGTCTCCTCTGAGATGCCTTTGCAGTCAGTGGAGATCTAGGCTGTGTAGTCAGGGATCTAGGACGTGATTCATCTCATTTTACGGGAGAAATCAAATTAATCAACCCTTGGAAGCGTCTGTTTCTTCTGCGCTGCCTATAAAAGGAGCCTGACTGACTCAGTGGTGGATGTTGTTCCTGCAGGCATCTAAAATTAGGTGAGATGGATTCCACACCGAGCACGTGGTGCCAGGGATGGAATGGCTCTGATTAATGCCTAATGAGCAGCGGCTTTTTAGGCGGATCTCGAGTGAGGGTGGTGTAATGGTTAAGGCTGGAGAAATTAAACCAGGATTAGAAAATTGTTTGAGCTTGATCCACATGTATCTTGCTTACTTGTTCCACGTTCTTTTATCTTCTGGGAGGTTTGTTGCTCGGAGTTACGACGACTCTGGAGAGTCGCTCTTCCCTGTGACTGTACCCCCGTGCGAGTCTGTTCGGAGATGGGACTTCTCAGCAGTTTCTCTCAGTTAAGCGAGGGAAGCAGGCGGCTTAGGAGTCTCTGTACCTGTGACTTGCCTTTATCTGCCCCTTGGGCGATCCTCATCTCATTGACAAAAATTATCAGCAATGATTTATTCTTCCAGGGCGTTGACTTAAAACTGAACAGTAAGACAGAATATCAACACGACCTACAGTGTGTCCTGGTAAGACACCATGAGAAGCACCTATTAGATCAGTATCGTCCCTTTATATTGAAATTTTTAAACCAGTCTTACTCGTTTAGCTTGTCACAATGATTTTTGTATTCTTCTAATTCATTAAGATGCAGGACACTCTGTTACACCTAAATAAGATTTACTTTTATCAACTAAATTTATAATTACAGGAAAAATAGCGTGTTGCTTTCACATAGGTTGGTTGTTCTGAATTACGTATCGTTTAGGTTTTTAATTGTGAATCCTGTAAAATATGCCTTTTTTTGGTTTGACTGGCCTATAATTTCCCACGTCTTCTCTTTTATCCTTCAATACAAGCACAATCTGTTCGATAATGAGCTCTCTAACCAGGTTTTTAGGTTCTCAGAACTTGCTGGGCTAAGAAAGCTTAGCTTTGAGAACTCAGAAATCCCCAGCTGACGTGAATCATCTTGCCCTTGTCTGCACAAGAGCTGAACAAACCTGCTTTTTCCTTTCAGTCAGGAATCGGTACCAGTGATTGGTAAGGTTCCTCCGTATTTCTCGTGTTCCTTAATTGTATTTAAAATATCAAGAAAATACGATTGTATCATTCATTGAGTGTGTTTTGATTTGTGTAATACCGCAAATAAACCAAGTGTAAAATCACAGTGGCCTCCCACGGGTTTGTTTTCTTTTGAACTGCAGTAAAAATAAAGAGCTCGTGCAGCTTCAGAAATCCTAACGGAGCCGGTCTTGTTTCTTGTGGTGCTTGGTGGGCAGCGGGCGTTTGCTCTGTTCTATTAAATCTACGCAACCTTTTAAAAAACTTATTAACAGATCCCTAATATTTGTTGCTTGCCCGCGGTGCTGTGGAAGCGCATGCTGCATCGCCTGGAGCATGTCTCACTTGGGCTTTTTTTTCTGTCTCTTGTCTTTCCTTCTGCCTTGCAGTGTACACGATCCTGTCTAAGGTGCACTCTGACCGCAACGTGTACCCCTCTGCCGGAGTTCTCTTTGTTCATGTTCTGGAGAGAGAGTACTTTAAGGGGGAATTTCCTCCTTACCCAAAGCCTGGTATGGGATGCTAAAATCATCTGTATTATATACAAATGTAGAGGGGGGAGGGAAAGTTTGTTAAAAAATCAAATCTATTTAGCATACCTTACAGTTCGGCATATAACGTGGAAAGGACAGTTTTTAGTTTCTAATGAAATACTTTCAAATAAATAAAATGTGGGGTCCTATAAGTTTATTTTAAAAAGTTTAAAACGTTTTGGTTTGTGATCGTCATTTATGAAAAGATGCGTATAATTGTGAATTGTGAGGAAGGTACTTCATTTGAGAAGGAGTAATAACACAGTATAAGGATACCTTCATTTTTGCTTCCAATATGAAACCACGGACGCTGGATAATTCTGGCTGTTAAAATGCCGTTTATGTGAGCGCTGTTTCAGACGTGTGTGTCAGGCTATATGAAAGAGCACTTTGAAAGCATTTGGTAAATTTGAGACAAAATAGAAGATTAAATCTAATATGAGCTTTACATAATGATGTTTTCTTTCATTTAAAACAAATGCTCCTTCGGATTCAGCCTTCCTCCTATATTTAGGAGCGGTTTAAGGTTAGTAAGCAGTTTGTGTTTAGAGAAAGAGCTGGGATTTCTTAAGTATGGAGTTCTGAGGTATGCCTGAGGCAAACCTTAAAGGTTGGTCTTTGGCAAGGTCAGAATACGTGTAAGCAATCTGGAGGAGGGAAGAGAGAGAGAACATTCTGCACCCTCAAGCTTATTAACAATGAAAAGGAATTATAAATATAGAAATATATTTATTTATATATAACTGTCTCTTTCTTTGGCTATGAAAATAGGGAAAAAACCCTATAATAAATGTGGAGTCTGCGTGTAATCAAAACCTATTCCACTAGTCAGTTTTTGAATTGATTTGAGAGTGCTCTTTTCAAAACCAACTTTAAGGAAAAAAATAAGCTTCTCTCAGCAGTGGCTAAATTTCGTGTACAAACTCGAATGTTTTAAACATTTCCTCTCCTTGAAAAATGGATGTTATTTTCCTGATACATATCCCTGAGTCTTCGTTTCACGTAGCAGTGACTGCAGTTTGCCTCTGTCCCAGTTTTCTTCCAGCTTTGGCGCAGAGCTGGAAGGAACGTGAACGCTTTCCTAAGGAGGGGTTGTCTTCCGAACCCAGGCAGCCCCAGCCTCTCTTGGCGTTCCTGTGACTCGAGGGCAATATCGGTCTGATCTCAGATACTGCCAGAGCTGTTGTACCCAGAGCGGAGTTGTGATCGTGCCGCAAATTCCCCGTGAGGCCAGACGTTAGCGTGGTCCTTTTCCTTTTATCAGCTGCGCCAAGTCCTTAGCCCGGCCTGCCGTGCTGATTTTTCCCCAGATCTTTTGTGATGTTGTTGTTCTCTAAAGAAAAGCTCTTGCCAGGCTGCTGGGGCTGAAGAGCTGCTGAGAGAAGCTTTCAGGCCTTGATGGTCGTGCAGTAGGGGCCACCCAAGTCCATTGGGTCTCCAGCACCATTGTGACACAAACAAAAGAAGTTAAAAGATGATACCTTTGTGCTTTTGTCCGTAAGGAGGTGCTTCCATTCTAGCTGGAACTGAGCTCTTAAAATTCAGCCCCGCTGGTTAACGAGGGCAAGCGCAGAGTTAGCCAGACTCAAAGAACTTCCAAGCACGTTCGTCTCCGCAGTCGGTGACACTTTTCAGATAGAAATTTCTTAATCCTTAAAAGAGCTGAGTGGGAGTTCATATTTCTGGTACAGTGTAGGTTAGCAATATTGTTTTTTGTTTTGGAAATGTTTAGAAGACATAACTGGAAGACAGTAGGATTTTTCTACTGGAAACATCAAAAAGCGTACAGTGTTTTCTTGTAATTAATGTGATTTTTCTTATTTAGGTGAAATAAGTAATGATCCTATAACTTTTAATACCAACTTAATGGGTTACCCTGACAGACCGGGATGGCTGCGCTATATCCAGAGGACCCCGTACAGCGATGGAGTGCTGTATGGCTCGCCAACCGTAGAAAATGTGGGCAAACCAACCATCATTGAGGTATTTGCTTTCAAAGCTTCAAAAACATTCGTTTTGGTTTAGAGTGTAAGAATCAGAATTGTCAACAAGCACTGGCTCTTTTTTGAAAAATGAATTGCAGTTAAAAAAAAAAAGATTATAAGGCAGGGCTGAGGGCTGGTGACATGAACGTTTTCTCTTAGGTACCTCTGAATCCTCCTGAGAGGAAACCAAGTTGTGTGACATTTCGTATTTTACTTTTACGGTATGACCAATAAATAGCAATAACTCATTACGCTTAATATTCCTTGATGACATATCTTTAGATTTTTACCCTTATTCTTTCTAAGAGGCATTTCATTACATTTAACTATGAATATATTGAAGTTGTATTCAAGATATAGGGGAGGGGGAACTTGTGAACAGCTGCCCTTGAAGGCTATCTGAATTCTGAACTTCGTAGCATTCTTTCGGAGCAGACTTTTCCCCGCTGGAAAATACAGTGTTTCATCAATAAAAATGTTTAGGGTTTGGTTTTGGATTTTTTTTTAATTAAATTATTTTTCATCAAGTGTTATCTGGTTCGTCATTCACACTTATTGCTAGTTTTAATTTAACTGAGCACATCCATATATTTAATTCTGTTCTTGTGAGTATAACAATGACAAAACCGACCGAATTTTTGACGATTAGCTATCCAAATGTTTAAAAGCAGGAATAATTCATCGAGCAGCAATTGAAAGGGAAAAGAAGCTGTATTTTGTGCCGTGCGTCGCGCAGCCGACTGAATCTGGCACTACGTGGTTCCCAGCGTTAAGGAGAACCTGCTCATTAACTGGCTCCTGCCGTTCTGCTGCCTCGGCAGTATATTTGTCTTCAATCCCTGATGAGTTTCTTTTCTCTAAATTGCATTTGATCTGGTTGTTCTTCCTCAAGGATGACATCTCTAAATGTGAGGTCGTACTGAAGATAACTTCACTCCTGCTTAATTCTAGCGACATGGTTCAGTTTTGCTTTCAGCAGGACTAGTCACATCTGTGAAATTAATCACGTCCACAAGTACTTGCAGACTCCACTTAGCTTTCTGTAGAGGACACTTACTTAAAATTGCCTGATTTTTTTAAGTGGCTTGTGCTTTTAGATGCTGGGATCTCTGTCAAGACCTCCATTATAAGCATGACCCCCGGATGATATTTGAACGAGAGCTCACCTGGCATACAAGTGAATTCATCGCAGTCCCCTCTCAGATACGGCTTTAAAATTAATTCTGTAATACGGGAGGAGGAAGGATTGCGTTTGATCCACTGCTTCGTGCCACGGGAGAGGAGTGGTTGGAGATTTCTGTCTCGGCTACATCGTGCCCTAATTCCCGAGGTCACGTCAGGAGTTGGTCAGTTAATTAGAGGAGACCTGGAGAAGGGCTTTTCGCAAGGGCCTGTAGGGACAGGACAAGGGGCAAGGACCTGAAGCTGCAAGAGGGCAGATTTAGATTCGATAGAAGGAAGAAATTCTTCCCCCTGAGAGTGGTGAGGCCCTGGCACAGGCTGCCCAAGGAGGGGGAGGATGCCCCATCCCTGGAGGTGTCCAAGGCCAGGTTGGACGGGGCTTGGAGCACCCTGGGCTGGTGGCAGAGAGGTGTCCCTGCCCACAGCAGGGGGTTGGAACGAGGTGATCTCCTGTCCAACCTGAACCGTTCTCTGGTTGGAAGAGCCTGACACCGCAGCAGAGCAGGTGACATCCATTCCTTCGTTGAGAGCTGTGCCGAGGCCGTTGGTGTTTGGATGAAGCTTGGGTTCCAAAGGGGACTCCACCCCATCACGGCCACGGGGTGCAGCTGCAGGGTCCCCCCCGGCAGCCCTCGTGGTGCCTCTGCAGGGCCTGTGCAGCCAGAGAGTTGGCTTTTTGAAGTATTAATATCTAAACTATTGTTGAAACAACCCTTTGCAAAATGAACAGAATTGAGGATTTGAAAAATCTCAGCGTTTATTTTCTATGAAGTGCAACAGCTGTTACTTTTGTTTGTTTGATACTCGATGTCGCCGTGCTTTGAGCTCTTTGCTGAGAAGCGACACAGTTGTGTCGCTATTGCCACTCCTCTGCCTCCCCTTCAGCCCTGAGATGAATGAACTGGAATCTAAAATTAGCCTTTTTCAGTTTATTTCATGGAAGATTTATAACCTTTAAGGAACAAAAGAAGTAGAGGAAATGATATGTGATTATACTGTTATCCAGCCTCATTCTGTATTTCTTATGAGCAAGCACTCACTCGTAGTACAGCTTTGGAGTACAGTCACCGCTGAGGAGTAACTGCTTGTGAGCATCTTGGGCACCCAGTACATTTAAACTCTTAGATTGGTGTCCTTATATAATTCTATTACAAAGGCATAGGTTTCTGAAAAAACAATCTCAAATGTCGCATCTACCTACTAGTTTAGAGTTACGGGTTCTAGGATTTTTAAAAAAACTACTTGTTTTGGAGCAATGCTTGCGAATCCGTTCATGGGGTGTGCCCTAAGCAGCACTAGAGACAAAACTGAATCCCACTCCAAATCCCAGACATTCGAATTGCTGGGATCTTGACACGCTTTCCTTTTCAGTATCTGCACCTCGTTTGGTTCCCCAGGAGCTGTCAGGGACGGCAGATCTTGCAGTACTGGTGACTGTTCTTAAAGATAGCAGAAAAGAAAGAATACACAACACATGTAAGGCAGAACGCTTTTATCTGGGCCAAAATGTATTATATTCACCTATAAAATCGTAGAATCATGGAATGGCCTAGGCCATTTCAAAATAAGGAGACAAAGCATTTTAAAGGCAATAAGTATTTGTAACTTACCAATTTAATTTTCATTACCTGATTGCTCTCCCTTTTTTTTAATTGTTTTTTGACTCTAGATCACTGCGTATAACAGGCGTACCTTCGAGACAGCAAGGCATAATTTGATCATTAACATAATGTCAGCAGAAGGTATGTGCAGAAAATATCTCCTGCTTCGAACTGCATAAGCAAAACCATCTTACGGGCTCTCGTATTCTTCTAAGATTGAAAAATTGATGTAAAATATTTGTCTGGTGTTCAAGCCAAATAGAAAGGGGAAGTTAGATGCTTTTCCCTCTTTGATTCTATTTGTTATTTATACCTAAATGATTTCTGTCAGATAGGACTTATTTCTAACGACTGCTTTTTTGTATAATTAATTTCAATTTTTTCCCCTCTCTCTTTTCAAATGGAACTAACATGGAGGTTTTTACTGTCTTTCACCGTGTTGTTTAGTTTGCTGAGGTCTGCGTATTCATTGTGCAGAGAACAATCATTTGAGTAGACTCAGAAAACAACAGATCGTGGCGTATATGGATATTTCAGCTAAAAAAACCCTGAATTGAATAGTGTGTGTCCTTAAAATCAGTTCTCGTCATCATACTCATACAGTGTAGTCAGGAGCGATGCAGGTTGGAATCCCTCGTCACTGCAGACCAAATCAGTATGAATGGAACTTTACCTCTTGAATCAAGATTTATCAGCTGAGACTCTTTTTCTCTGTAGCTACTCCTTCATATCCCAATTCCTTTATAAGTAACCCATGGTTTTCAGCTTAAGTCACAGCTGATAGTACTATTTAATTGAACGTGATCACATTGGGTTCAAACTGAGCTAGTTCAAATGCCAGATTTTTGGGAAGGAGTGTTGATCTTAAGGTGTTATTACGTTAACCAGCACTTCAGATTCTTTGTTCTGGAGCCTTTGCTTACGGCGAAACTCTTCCTTTGTTGTCACAATTAGATTTTCCTTTACCGTATCAAGCGGAGTTCTTCATAAGGAATATGAACGTCGAAGAGATGTTAGCAAGTGAAGTTCTTGGTGACTTTCTGGGAGCAGTGAAAAACGTGTGGCAGCCAGAACGCTTGAATGCTATAAACATCACTTCAGCCCTCGACAGGGGAGGCAGAGTTCCGCTTCCTATTAATGACATGAAAGAGGGGTAAGCACGTGTGCCAGGCTTTGCTTTATTCATTTCCTGCCTGAAAAGCCAAGCATTTCCTTCAGGCTTTCTAGAAACCGTGCGGCTGCCGCTCGGTATTGCAGAAATCCACCTTGGCATTAGATCTGAAATGCTCTCTGATGTTGCCGTTATACCACGGGTTTCTCACATGAGATACTCTTTCAACAGACAACGGTTCCTATATATTGATTTTACAATCCCAAGGAATACTAATAAATTGCATTCATAATAAAAAAGCTGGTAGTAAATATGCTTATTGTGTAATTCCAGTATGACTTCTGGGCGGATACTTTTTGAGTATTCGGTAGTTCTTAATTCACAAAACTCAAAGTTTTGAAACAAGGCGTGACAGAGCATCGCTTGCAAAGGCACTTGAATTTCCGAGAGCGTTTAGCAGGTACCAGTGTCATTTGCAGCCGTGCTCTTAGTGAAATGTAGTTCTGTGCTTCGGGAGCGCTGTGGACTTTCAAGGGAAAGTGATAAGCTGAGGTATCAGGGAATTTGCTGAGTGCAGGCTGCAGGCATGCACCACTTCCAGTGCCTTGTACCCATAAATTCTGTTCTGAAATACATTACTTCAGTTGGAAACCAGTAAGGATCCAGCCTTTTCAAAAATGTGGTTGTGGTAATGCTTTTCCCTGGCAAAAATCAAGTTGCCTAGCTACTTCTAGATATTTTGTGTCAAATAATATCTGAGAAAGGGCTGAGGGTCCAAAATCTGAGATGCATGCAGAAAAGGTTGTTGTTTGGGAGCCCTTTGGTGCATCTGCAGAAGGAAAGTGACTTCTGACCAGCCATGAGTAAGAGCAGAGCCACTTCATACACGTGGCTGCGTTTCAGATCTGTACCAGCAGTAACCAGGGCCTGATTTCTGTTTCGGGATGTATTGATCTGTTATTACCTGGTGCAGCGGGGCTGTATTTTCCAGCAGCGTTCTACATATTTAAAAGTGAAAATGAGAAATACGTTTGGCACAGTAGCTCTTATTTTATGTTCTGTAATGACTTCAGTATTCCGCAAGTTTTGCTGGCCGTGCATAGCTTCAGTACGGAGTCTTTTCGGCAAAGCTGGAGGCTTTGTCAGGTTCTTGGTAGCACTGGATTTACAAATAACTAGTGCCCGTGAACTTTATTTGAGAAGACGCAAAGAAACTCTTCAAAAATACTCTGCTGAGCAGGACAGAACATTTCCTTAAGATAAAATTATGCTATTTTAATGTGATTTTTGGAAGCGGTACTGATTTACTTACATGAGGAGCCTACACCTGGAGCTCTGTGACTTCCCAGGAGTTGACAGTTCTGAGGGTGAGCAGACATTTACATCGTGCAGCAAAACGAGTACGTAGCAGGAACCAGCTAGAAATAGCCTTTTGGCTTCAGCCTGTCCTTCCTATGCTTAACTAAAGTAACCTCGGAAGAAAGATAATGTTTAAGAGTCAGTTTTGTCTTTAAAGCCCAGGTGAATGTTACCCTGAGCAGTAAAGGTGTTGGGAAGAGGACGTGGTGGGGGCTGTGTGCGCTGACGGTCTGTCGCCGGGCTCTTTCTGCAGGGTCTATGTTATGGTTGGGGCAGATGTTCCCTTCTCCTCCTGCTTACGGGAAGTGGAAAACCCACAAAACCAGCTGAGGTGCAGCCAAGAGATGGAGCCTGTCATAACCTGTGATAAAAAATTCCGCACTCAATTCCATATTGACTGGTGTAAAATCTCTCTGGTGAGTTATTTTACTGCTGCGTGAAAATGGTGCTCACAAGTACGATGGTTTATGCCAGATGTGGTTGAGGCAGGAGTTTTGGCCTGACAGCTCTCCCCGATTCTGCTGTATCGTGACTGACGGGCGCTGCTTTCCATCCAGCTTAAGAGTGTGAAAGGATTTTGGTGCGTCGGCTAAATTCTGAGCACTAGTGAAACCACCCTATTTGTTTTCACTAGCAGCGGTTTCTAGAAATGCCAGAGAACCCTCCGTCTTACAGAACTAAAGTAGTGAGAGAATTAGTAGGTGTAGCCGTTAATTCAGTGGCCTGATACTGCCAGCTGCAGCTTTCCTAAAAAAGTGCAGATCTGTATTTATATATGTTTTCTGAAATAGTGAGTCTGCAGCACTGAGCACTAAATAATATTCCTATGCTTTTAAAAAATCTATTGTCTAAAATATTTAGTGTTAAAACCAAAATAGATAAAGGAAATAGTGTTGACTAATGAAATAGAAATAAATGGGAACCTTCTTCTCAGTAGAATACAAAAAAAAAGGTAACTGAACACTGGACTGCTTGCCATGGAAGGAGTGTAATTTCCAAAGAGGCTTTTTAAGGCTATTTTTGTTTAATTCTCATAAGGAAAAATCGGGAAATGATACAGTATTGACAGAACACTGCAGGCAAGTTCGAACAAAGAAGGTACATAAAAAGCTTAAATGATTGTTGTGCTGCTTCAGACATTACCCAAGAGGAAACTGAGAGGGTGATAGGAAAGGCTGTTGTACGGTGCAAAAAAGTATTGAGTATGAGGAAAGTTATTCAGACACAAAATCGATTAGATCACTTCCAGACCTCTCCCTCTGTACACTGTAAGTTAGGAAAGCTGTTGGAAAGCTGGAAAATACTTGCTTTCAAAGGAAATAATCCAGATTATTTAGTGCTTATTTGCTTTCTGTTGAGAAATTACAAAAGGCACATGTGTGCACGGCGGTACTGAGCAGTTGAAGGCAGTCAGCCTCTGTCCAAACAAACTGTGTCAAGTGTTTGATTTCCTTGTACGAGAAGGAGGTAGAACAGAGGTGCAGCAATAGGTGTCACTTCTTTTTGGTAAGGATTTTTCGATACTGTCTTATAAGCAAGCTCAGGAACCAGGTGAAGCTCAGACTTAGTGGAGAGCTGGTTGAATATCCAGAATTAGAACAGAATTATTAATAATGCCTTGTCATTCTTCAGTAGTAACCTGGGTGATGGAATGGGCTTATTAAATTAAAGTTGCAGGCCCCATGAAGCCGAAAGGATCTGCAGGTATGTTGGATTCAGGATAGAATTCAGAAAAGGCTTGAGGCAGCCTTAGAAAAGGAGGTGAATTTCCAAAAGTGGCAGCAAAGGGATACAGGAAGAATCAGCAGTACTCATGCAGGATGAAGAGCAGCTGGTTAAAAGTACTTCTCCAGAAAAAAAGCCCCAGAAAATAGGGAAAAAAAAAGAAAAAATAGCAGTGGCTCCTAAACTAATGGTGAGGCAGTGTTGTCACGCTGCTCCGAGAAGAGCAGCGATTTTTTGTGTGTGTGTTGCTTGGGGTTTGAGATCCAGCTAAGCAGCCAGGTGGAGCTTGGTGTGCCTAACGTAAAAGGTACCGTGGAATTAATGAGTGGAGAACACATGAACTGTCGTGTAGTTACAGGTTTATGCATTCGAGGCTCAACAAAACATTATTTCTAGCACTTCATGAAAACCCGCTCATCTGTTTCATAAGTTTTAATACACCTTTTTTTTGAAGTGTAAATTACGAAGAATTTACGTATGCACGGTTTCTCAGTGAACGGTGCCGGGCAAAAGGTCAATAATGTAGGCAAATATAATTTCTTGTCATTCATATCCTTGCTAGGCGGAAGGCAGAAGAAAACGGTAGATAATCTGCTCTTCATCTCTGCCACCTGCATACAGGAGAGGGCGGTGGTGTTGCTTAGGAAGCCCGCTGGGGAATGGATTAGTGCATCAAAAAGAAATCAGCACTAAGTAATTAGTTTACAGTAAAAACGTATGTTGAGTTGTTACTGTTCATGTGAGATAGCCCTAAAATTAATCTGTAACACGCACGGTGTCTCTGGAAGGCACAAAATACAAGAATGATCCTCTAACATTACTTATCGCCTTGAGAAGAAGCTTTCAACAGAGAGTAAGGCTTTATTGTTTAAAAAAACCCAAAACTGATGAAGTTGCATAGAACTTGTCGAAAGTGGATTCTTTCACGTGTTGTGGCCGATTAAATGCTGCCTGGTTTTCCGTTCTGTTGCTTTGTTATAATTGTCTTTTTTTTCTTTTTTTTTTTTTCTTTTCTCCTGGGTATCAGGTTGACAATACAAAGCAAGTTTCCACCTTTCAGGAAGTGATTCGTGGAGAAGGGATATTGCCGGACGGTGGGGAGTACAAGCCCCCTTCTGACACGCTGAAAAGCAGAGACTATTACTCGGATTTCCTAGTCACACTGGCCGTGCCCTCGGCAATAGCACTGGTGCTCTTTCTCATACTTGCCTATATCATGTGCTGCCGACGGGAAGGAGTGTGAGTACTTTAACACCTTCATAAATAACCGTAGATTTTTCTGAGGTTTAACGCAGAGAAGACTTGGTTAGACAAACTCCATCCAGTTCATTAAAAACATTTTAAACGGGCCAAAAGGTATCTGCTGGGAAATACTGCACTGCAGCTCATCGGGGCACGTCCCGTGATTGCCAAGGGAACGCGTAGAGGGCCTGGAATTGGTCTAGCTGGAAAGGGTTAAAAGTTGCAACATATACACAAACCTCCCCGTACACACAACGCTCCAACCCCCCCCAACCAAATAAAATACTCATAAAGGACCCCCGGTTCAGGAAACTGCTAAGTAATTTCTAAAAGGCTGACTTGTATAAACTAGCTCTGGTCGAGGAGATGAGCTGAGGGTAGCCGGACTCTGTAAAAGCAAACCGCGTAACAGGAAAGCAGCGAGTAACGCAATTTCCGCCATTTCTGACACAAACTGCAATTTCATTTGTCACGGAGTTTATTTTAGCCAGAAGCTTTGTTCTTTAACTCGCATCTCCATTGCTCCTGTGTGTGTCCCCGTGTGTGTGTGTGTCCGTCCGCCATCGCCTCTCTCCACGAGCGCTCACCCAGGCCTGCCCGCTGCCCAATGCTGCCAAGCGGCTTTTCCCAACAGCCTTGGCAGCATTTCTCCATCATCCCCTACTGTTTTCATCATCAGGTAGATTTAATGTTCCAACTATCAATGCTATTATTTAATTCATAAATTTTGTTTTGTTTTTAGGGAAAAGAGAAACATGCAAACACCAGAGTAAGTGTCTTCTTTCCTGTTCTTTTTCTTTTACCATTTAATTTTCATTCTCAGTAGCTTGTCACGCTTCATACATGTGTGTCATAATCTTCCATCATTCTCTCTAATCCATGGTTTAATTCATAAATGTGAAAGCTGCTTTTAAATCAGTCTTGGCGAGGATAGAAGTCCAGAATAAAAAGGGTTTGAATTTAATGACTGTCAACTCAAAATAAAATAGCGCTGTTAGAATAAATACGTTAATAGTCATTTATACTCCTGGTTATTGGACTTCCCAGCCGGGGCCTTAAGGGCAGTGGACAGGAGAAGGAATATCCTAGAAGGATACTATGAAGTGTTCTAAAATTAATCCATGAGTTTTTCTGAATCTACCACAAGAACCAAGAGTTAACCCTACTTGTATTTTAACTGCAGCACATAAACGGGCCATTAGCCATAAATTGCACAGTCGTGGATCCAGTGAAAAATACTTATCCAACAGCCAAATCTAATGGAATAATTACCGCCTTAAAAATGAAATAACTCCAATATTAAATTAAATATGCCAGGGTTAACTGGGATTGCTGCACTATAGAGTCTGTAGCATGCGTCAAAGTCCTGGTTTGTTTAGGACAAATAATAAATTGTAAAAGTCTGTCCGTACAGGTAGAGCATCGAAAATGGGCATTTACTGTTTTATTTCCTGTCACCGTAGCATCCAGCTGGTCCACCACAGCGCGATACAGAAATCCACCAAAGAGCTCCGGGACATGTCGAAAAACCGCGAGATCGCTTGGCCTCTGTCGACCCTTCCCGTGTTTCACCCAGTGACCGGGGAGATCGTGCCGCCCCTTCACCCGGACAGCTACGATAACACCAGCACGCCGCTCATGCAGACCCAGCCGTGAGTCCTTGCAGTTTATTCTGTTTTTCGGTGCTTGCTACGTCGCGTGATTTAACTATGGGTCCCAGAGCTTGTCAGCTGAAACGCGTCAGTTGTGGAGGGGTCAGTGATGCCTCTGTAGCTCCAAGATTGCGCCGATGTTTGCATTCCAAGCAGAAGGAAAGGCCTTCTGTTTAGAAAAAAAAGAAAGAAGAGATGGCTGGGTTTCAGCCTGCAGCCTTGGCCCTGCGCGTGGAGCAGTTACAGTTCTGCGTGTTTTGGAGAACAAACTGCTTTGGAGGGAGGAATCGGTTCAAGGAGTTCTGGTTCAGACACCCGGCCTCCTAACCTGCGTCTGCCGCTGGGCTCGTGGTAATTCCGTACCAGAAAATCAGACGCTATAAATAATCAGTCGGGTACCTGTCCCACGTGGGGGACGTTTGAAACGCTGAGGTAAGAGCCTGTTCTGGTATATGGGTGATAAATGCAGATGACGTTTGAAACGCTAGAAGGGCCTGTTCTGGTATATGGGTGATAAATGCAGACTTGGCAAGGAGAACGCTGACACCTCTCAGCTGTTTCCGTTGTTGCCAGCCTCTCTCCAAGGCAGAAACCAGAAAAACAGCACTAGCCCCTCTTTTACAGTT